TCGAGATGTGGCGGGGTAGCAGGAAACGACACTAAGCCATTTGTATGCCAGGAGATCAGAGAGTGATTTTGTGCAAGTGCATACTTGTTCAACATGAAATCATCTCATCACTGTCTAGATGAAGGTCACTATAGGACTAACATTTAAATGTAAAATGTCATCAGATATTTCAGAAGATTTATGGTTGGGATAGCATACTTAGATTATTAATATACAACATAAAGCTAAAAACAAACAAGCAAACAAAAAATGATGTTGGGCTATGAAGCAAACCCTCTGTCGAGAGTACAGAGACCAAGACGGGGAAGGAGTAATAACAATCTCCTCTGTAACTCTTTGGCTGGATGGGGTAGATGCTGCTTTTGTCTGGTAGAATAGTTCCAACAGTAACAAGTAGTTTTTATTGACACTACAGGGCTTGTGTGTTTGCTTGTTGTACTGTATATAAACCTTGAATTAACACATTTGTTTCACTGAAAAAAAAAAAGAAAAAAAAAAGGCTTGATCATCTTTGGATATTTTCTATGCGTGCTCTGTTTAAATTAATGGGATCACTTCAACGTTGGCCTATGTGTGTAGTATTTTGTACTAATACTGGCACTAAATCTTATTCACCAGATCTTTCCACCTCATACCACATTCATTATCCCTTTTGCATAGCTGGCATATTATGCATGAAAGTAGGGTACAATCTTAAAAGATTACCAGACATTTATAATCTACTCTATAGCTCTGTTGTTACTGCCAGGGCTCACTTGAAAAATAATATAAATCTCAATGTGACTACTCTGACTTCTCATTCCTTTTAAGGTGGCTCACACCTGTTGTATAATTAGGGCCCTGTGTTTTGTGGAATCATAACATGCTTTTATCCTGTTTAAGCCTTATCCAGAAATAAGAATTATACCAAAAAGTCAAGCAATTGTCTGAGGATGGTGCTGGACCATCTGACATAAAATGAAAAGGGGACAGTTTGATGAAAAAGATTTAAATAAAGGTTCAAATCCAGTCATGTCACATGATCACGCAAAACACAGGGGCCTAGGTATAATATGCTGTATCTCTGTAGCTCTTATTACATGTTCTCCAAGCATTAAAACATTATATCTGTCCTTACAGCAATATGATAAGAAAGACATCATCAGAAAATACAATTTAGGTCACTCCCCTCTACAGTATCCCAAGCTCGGATCTCATTTTGGTGCATTGGTAGTTGTGATGTGATAAAGTTCACAGTAAAGTATACTGTAGAGGCCTTTGAGTCTCCAGCTGGTTGGTCAGTCTGGTCAGTCAGACTGCAACCCTGCACCACCTTGTGGTCACATTGGTAGAGCTAAACCTTTTTACACCAATAAAGCATAATATGACAGTTGTTCGACCTCATGTTATCGAGTAAAACCTTATGTATGGAATAGCTCTTCTACAACTCCACAAGAGGAAATTAGCCATTGGCCATTCACAGTTTTGCACTGGGCTTGCTGTCATCATATCTACTCAGAATGGTAAGTAATTTTTTATCTGAATCATTCATCATTTGAATATTATGAAGACAATGGTTCATCATTGTTACAAATGGTCTTGAATGGTCTTGAACTTTATTGAATATGTGCACATGTTGATAGCATAATTATTCAGGTACATCGCAAATAACATCAAAATAACATCAAATATACTTTTCTACATGTATTTGAATACTCCACCATGATTTACAATATATGTAATATTTATCATTTTTGTCTATTTTAGATACATATAGAATTCTTGTTTTATACATCTGGCAGGCATCAATATTGACCATCAATTTCACAGAAATTCATAGTGCAGATAACACATAAAACCTTTTTTAAATAAAAAATACTTACATCTGCATTTAGGAAAACTACTTAAGCAAAGAAAAAAGGCATGCAAATTGTAAACATACATTCAAATATATCCATCAAAAAGAATGTAAACGAAAGAAACATTTCAACACACGTCTATGAATATCAACAAACAGGATTCAAAAAGATTGTTTCAATTATCACGACATCCACAGGAGGATTATAACTCCAAACACAGCTATGATGTTCTCTGATGGATGTTCTCTGTTACAAGCAGAAGCAGAGAGCTGAGTAAAACAATCAAGTGTTCATCCAGTCAAGTAATTTTTTTGTAGCAGGTATCATTTGAGGTTTCTCTGATCCATTCATTCAACGGTATACCCTGACAATTCTGTTTGCTGAGTTATGATTTCCATTGAGTCCCATGATAAGAAGTGTAATAGACATTTTCAAACTTAGACATATAATCCTGAATACAAGAGAAACTAAGATAAAAAAGCTTTTTCAAAAAGTAGAAATAATGCATAATTCATGACTGTGAATGCCAGTAATGAAAAAGGGCTTAATTCCTACCCACCCCACCAGAAAAATGATAGAAACGCCAAAAATTATCAACCAAAATCCACAAGAATTAATTGCACATAATATCAACAAGTACAGCCAGCAGCAGGAGGGAAACTTGACGAATCTGCATCATTCGTAGGTCACTATCTGTACAACACTTCTATTTGGTTTTACAAAACAACATTTACACGTTTATGCACAATTTATCACAAGGGGTCACTGTGGATACACAAAGGGCCAATGCGCAGAGGAAGCAGAGGGGTTCTGCAGGGAGATTGGGACTTTCCGAATTAGCTCCAAAACACATATTGCCTGGTTGACATGGAACATACTCTTTTTGGAAGACATATTCAGTGCCCTAGAAACAGAAGGTTTCAGCCATGGGCTCAGGGAATATGTAGGGATTATTTTCTGACCAATGATCAAAGAAGTCATTGATGTTTTGGGGAGAAAGTATTAGGTGTAGAAAATCAAACAGAAGTATACTGCAGTGGTACTGTAAATCCCACAGGGGACATACCAGTACATTTATTTTACACTGCCTAGATGACCCATGGTACATTCTTTGGCTGAGCATTTATTTGGACTAGGCTCCTTGCTCACAAGCTGTGACCCTGCTGGGAGCCAGACTGGACAGGCACCCAGACACTTTCCACTCACAGAGACAGCAGCATCCCAGGCCCTTGTGATGGCTGGTAAAATAGAGCACTGAGCTGGCTGTGTCTCTACAATCTGACAAACTGACATTAAAATCTCAAAAATATCGCTTGACTCATGTCTTATGTATTCAAGTATGATTTTGTTATATTTCATGTGCAAATACATTTGAAAGAACAAATACTTTCTACCTCAATAAAAACACATGCTTTCATTTGCAGTAGCTCATCATCCTCATTTCAGTGCAACTTATGGAAGACCTGACCCCGACACGCTTGTGTCACTTACCAGGACATCCCTGAGACAATACTATCTGACTGAACTTTGTGTCTGTGTAAGGCATGTTTTCCAAGTTGAGAGCTATTGAGATTTTGTCTTAATCTAACAGAAGAAGGGAGAGGGAGGCAGCAATGGCATTCTCACAAAAACAACACATCCTTTTGCTATGCTAACTACTCTAGCTAATTACATGTGACAACACAGTTACAAGCGGCGATGTGAGTGGTTGAAATTGCAACCATATCTCCTTTATTGACATGCATCTAAAAAAACATAACATAGAATGAAAGGGCAGCTCAAACAGCTGTAGTGTTGGTGTCACGTCTCCTCCTGTTGCTCCCCTCCGGCGCTCTGATTCGCCGGTCTACTGAGCCACCGGTCTGAGCGCACCACCTCGGCAACACCGGAATGGAAACCCAACGCACCCTAATCACCTCCAGCGCACCTGCACCTCATCATCTCATCACACCCCTATTTAGCCCTGGACTGTTCTGTAGGATATTGTGTGTGATTGTTTTGCTTCGTGTCATGTACTCTATATTTGTTAATTCTCTTTGTCATTGTTTGAGTAAACCTTGACCTTGTTAATTCCTGCGTCTGCGTCCTGCCTCTTCGTATCCTCAGTACTCGTCACAGTTGGGAACACTATCATGATGATTACCAGTGTATTGTTTCCAGTATACTAGCATAAAAACAATTCCAAACGATCAAATCGTGACCAAGTAAATATCTCCCAATACATAAAAACTGTAGTAGCATAGGCCACCTACTGAATTGTAATATATAACAACACCATTTATAAAGAGACTGATGAGTGATGGGGTAAGAATCTTCACCCTGACTTTTTTCTGAAATCTAAACACACGTGCAACAAGAGACGTGTGTGTGTGTGTGTGTGTGTGTGTGTGTTTGCAGGAATCATTTGGAATGTGAAGGTGATCGGGAATGTTTCAGACTGACAGCAACAAACCTCCCACTGGGCACAGATGTCAGTTCAACGTCTAGTTTTGATTTACATTTGGTTGAGTTTTCATGTAATTGGATTTAAGCTAAAAGTTGGGTGAAAAAAGACAAAATGCCCTTACGTTGATTACTTTTTGTAAATCCAATCAGTTTTCCATATTGATTCAATGTCATCTCGTAGATTTTTCTCGTTGAAATGAAGTGGGCTATCTGTGATCTTCAAATATACAGATGTAGGATTTTAATTTGATCACTCTTTTGTTGCAGAGAATTCTCCTGCACCACAGGAAATGCAGATAAGCTTTGTGATTTACATTTTAGTCATTTAGCAGACGCTCTTATCCAGAGCGACTTACAGTTAGTGAGTGCATACATTATTTTTTTCATACTGGCCCCCCATGGGAATCGAACCCACAACCCTGGCGTTGCAAACGCCATGCTCTACCAACTGAGCTACATCCCTGCCGGCCATTCCCTCCCCTACCCTGGACCAATTGTGCGCCGCCCCATGGGTCTCCCGGTCGCGGCCTGGATTCGAACCAGGATCTCTAGTTGCACAGCTAGCACTGCTATGCAGTGCCTTAAACCACTGCGCCACTCGGCCAATGTACTGAAAACCTGCACTAACACACGGTTATATTAACAGTATTGCATTTTTCACGTAGCCTAATTTTGGCCAGCTAACAGCCTAACCATAGATCAAGCAACATTATGGACTAAATGTTCAAATCCTGTTGCTGCAGGATTATTTTGCTGCGACAATACTGGTCAAATTAAGATCCTATATCTGTATTATACAGGCAGTGTATTATAATAGGCAATGGATGTTTTATATGTGCATTTTCACATCAATGTACATCAATGTCCATGATAGGGAGGTGTTAGTCCTATTGGTCCTTTGTGTGTTGAGGGAGGGGAAGGGTCTGCCTTTCAGTCTGTCTGTCGTTCTGTCGGCGTAGGAGGGGGCTTACTCCATCTCTCAGTCTGAGAAGAGACTGGCAAAAGATTTGCGTAGGTTGCGTATGGTCTCAGCCTTCACTTCATCCTGGCTAAGGCTGGTCCGTGGCTCTGGGGTTTCTGGAATGTTGAAGGCATTGGTAAGAGACTGGGATTTGCTATAAAGAGAGGAAATGGCAATAGAGGAGAGGAAGAGGCTATTAAAGTCATGCAGCAAACCCATGTAATGCTAAGAAGTGTAGGGCATGGCTGGAGAAAGAAAGAGAGAGAACATACATAGGGGATAGACAGAGTTCCTTCAGTTTGTATGGTCATTCCTTACATAACTGATTCAGTGCATTGATCAACTCAACTTGATATGTATACCGAATGATTGATCTGGATGCAAATGCATGCTTTTTTCATCACTCCCCCCTCCCCTTGACCAGTGTTCCTAGTTCGGGACTCTGGAGAGCACAAAGATAAAGTAATTGAACAAATTGCTTGCAGTTCCCTTTCAGTCAGTCAACTTTGGTACAACATACTATGGGGAGTCACACTGTCACGACTTCAGTTGAAGGATCTACAATCACGCCTGACAAGGCCAATGAAATCCGCGCCTCACTGGAAGCCCCGCCTTCCACAGGTGATAAGCGTGATACTCGGATTCATTACTTCAATTATTCCACTCTTCAGTTCAGTGTGAACAGGAACAATTCACGCTACTAAAACAAACAATTGGAACATGAGACTGTCTTACGTTGCGCCAACTAAACTGTCCCTTAGTGGTAGAGTGTGCTCACCCCCTGGACGTTGTGTGCTGAAGTTTGAACTTTGTTCTCATAAGTTTCCTAATCACGAACTATTTATTCAAATTGCTTGGCCTAGCTATTGAAATAAGTAATATGAAACTACTAACAAGCCGGGTTCGGGTTCGTGACCATGCCCCAGTATATTAAAATATACTAATGTTTGTTGTCTTGTATGTCTCGGCTCGGTGCATGCTCAGGCTGCCCTCGCTCGAATCAGTTTGTGTGCGAGACTAAGAGACGGCTGGCACTGTTCCCATACTAGTCCACGGTGCTTTAGGGGGCTTGGTGTTTCCGATAGTGACTTCCTCTCCTGGGTGTCCGTACCTTGGCTGAGTCAGAGTTGCGGAACGAATGTCTACCGGCTCATGTGCGCTCTGTCGACAGTTACGGGAGGCTACTCGTAGAGAGAGGGCGCCAGGTTCTGTGGATATCCCCCCCACCACCTGTTTCTGCCTTGGTTAATCACCGATTGCCTCTCTTCCCAGAAGGGTCTGGGTCCCACCTCTGTATTCCGGTCCTACGTAGACTTTTGAGACCAGGCTAGCTAACAAGCGCTGCATAGGGTTAGCTAACTTGCCGAGGTGAGCTAGCTACTGCTAGTTTCCTAAAGGTGGAATTGCTTGGGTAGCTCTCGTTTAGTATACGTATCTATCATGAAGTCGCTTGGTTATTCTAAATGGACAGTGCTGCAGTCAAAGAGGCTAGTTTGCTTAGCTTTAATTTCTGGCGAATGAAGCTTACTAGCTTTCACCCGGCAGTATGTCAATCACATTCATATTTCCAATTCCTGGAGTTGGAGAGAGTGGAGGAAGCAGGGCTTGCGGGCACCTCCGATGAGGAAGCAGTCTCTGAGAAGTTGGCTCGGGTAACCCCAGAGCGAGGGGTCTTAGCACAGGTCTGAGCGACCAGTGAGCGCCTCCACAAAAACATTACTGTGACGTCATTGCCGGAGCCCCATGTGTCCATAAGGGACTGGACTTCATCCAAGGCTATACAATGTCACGGAATCACAACTAAGTTTGTTTGCTTGTCCATGTTTAAAGGGACATTTCAAAAATGTTCTACTTCATATTCAGCATCTCCAGCACCACCCCAACATCAACATATGTGAAAATGGCACGTTTCTATGTTTTGTAGTAAACAAGATAGAGGAAGATGTGTTTCCAATGACATCATCAACCAATTAGTAGACAATTAGTAGGCAATGCCTATTCATAATTGGTTAAAATCACACGATGCACACCAATGATGTCATTGGAAACACATGTCTTCCTCTATCTTTTTTACTACAAAACAGAAACGCGCAATTTTCACAAATGTTGATGTTGGGGTGATGATGAATATGAAGTTGAACAATTTAGAAATGTCACTTTAAAGCCCCCTCAGTTACCTCATGTTCCATGGGGTTCAAGGAGCGTATCAATCTCCGTGGCTGAGAGTAATAAGTTGGGTGATTTGCTCTGTCCAAAAAGGGGCACTCCTCCCCAATAGGTGGCTCATACTAGGATTCATTGCTGATTCCTGCCTGTAGTTTACTATCCCCTATGAGGTGCTTCGTGATACAGGTTATGGGTTCTATAGGCGATTGGTTCCATTCCTGGAAATTATAATAAATTATGAATCGCCCTTGTCTATTACCACAGAAGGGGTCCATTTTTCAGAGCTGTCTGTCCATTTTCCAGCTGGATTACAAGGTGCTGTGGCACCGCTACCTATGACTGGTGGGTATAATAACCTTCATGATAGCGGTTTTCCTCTGGGTCTATTTCTAATGCGTGCGGTCCAGCGCTGGGTGCTAGCCGGTTACCGGGACACATCTTACTGCCTGAGTGAGGCTCGTTAAGACAGAAGTACCCCCAAGGGGCACTGCCAATCAGGGGTATGTCACTGATTGCCGGAGCCCCCAAACCCAGAGTGGACCGGACAGGTTTCAGGCAAACCTTGGCACATAAACACAGTTGTGTCCACCCAAAGTTCCACAGTGTTCACGGGTGTCAATAGTGTTGCGTCTCCCATATGTGGGTGCAATGAAAAGTGTCCCTTCTCCACATTCAGACACATGGTGGTTGAGAGTGGAGGAAAGGGAAAAATATCCAATCTCTCACAGTCCACAAGGTGGTGTCCCGACCCTTCAGATGGCAAAGGACGGGAGGCTCGCTATCTGCTCCAACCAATGGCACGCATGCACAATGTTGCTCTGGATCATGCGAAAAGTGACATTGAGGTACAGGCTACAATTTGTTGCGCGTCCCCCATGCTTCTGCGGCGTCATCACATCAACTGTTCCCAGGGCCTTATTGCCTGTTTTGAGTAGTTTCTATTTCAGATCCAGGACGGCTGGTACAGCCGGTATTTCCTGGTTCCGGAAAGGGGTTTGGACTTTACGCCCCGTTCTAGAATTATGTGTCCTCAGCAAGCATCTCAGAGTTTGCATGTTCAAAATGCTCACAAACCAGCGGATGTTATGGTCCGTGCTTCCCGGCGATTGGTTCACCACCATCAACCTAAAGGATGCATACGTTCGTGTGCCCATGTGCCTCAGTCACAGAAAGTTTCTGAGGTTCCATTACTAGGCGATAGCCTACGAGTTATTGGTCCTCCCGTTTGGCTTATCCCTCTCGCCTCACATCTTTTCAAAGGTGGTGGATGCGGCTCTGGCACCCATGAGGGGCCAGGGGCTGAGGGTGTTGGCCTATCTAGACGATTGGCTGATAGCAGCAGAGTCAAGGGAACAAGCAGTGTTACACACATCCAGGCTTGTGCCCCATTTTCTGTCGCTACTGGGCACAGAAGTCAGTTCAACGTCTAGTTTTGATTTAGATTTGGTTGAGTTGTCAACTAATGTGAATTTAATCTGAAATCAACAAAACATTTCACCATGTTATTGGATTTAGGTTAAAAGTTGGGTGAAAAAAATACGAAATTCCCTTATGTTGATTACTTTTTTCAAATCGAATCAGTTTTCCCACGTTGGTTCAACGTTATCACATCAAATTTGTTGTTTGAAATGATGTGGAAACAATGTTGATTCAACCAGTTTTTGCCCAATGGGTAGGTTAAACCAGAAAAAGAGCTGTCTAACCCCATTGTAGCACATTCCATTCCTGGGTCTCAAGTTAGACTCGTACGTAAATTGCGCTTTTCTATCCCCTGTCAGGGTGTCCAGGTTCCAGCTCTGATTGCCCGAGTTTCGGTTGGGGCGCACTGCACGTTTTCACCAGTTCCTGTGCCTGATAGGGATGATGGCTTCAATGTGGCGCTCAGGTTCCCCCTCCCGTGTTTGTCGGGACGACGTGCTGGTCAGACGATGGAGGCATACATCAACAGGCAGGGTGGGACTCGGTCCCTTCCCCTCCTCACCTTGGCACACTCCCTGTTACTGTGGAGCAGTGGGCATTTGCTCTTACTTCGAGTGATGCAAGTTCACGGTTGCCTCAACTTGGGTGCAGATCACCTATCCGGGGGGGCTCTCAAGAGTCGAGACACCCCTGGGTGGTTGCCCAGATATGGGAGATGTTCGACAGGGCCGACGTAGATCGTTACGCATCACGAGAAAATGCGCAGTGACGTCTATTTTTCTCGATGAGGGACCCGAGTGCCATGTTGGGAATGGAAGCTCTGGCACACCAGTGTCTTCGGACCCTCTTTTACGCATTCCGCCAGTGGTTCTGATTCAGCCCACGTTGGAGAGGGTGCGCCGGGAGGGCTTACCATTGATTCTTGTGGCTCCCCGTTGGCCCAGGCAGCCTTGGTTCATGGAGATTATTTGCCTTTTAGGCAGGGACCCGTGGCAACTCCCTTTGTGCAGCAACCTCTTGTCCCATGCACACGAGCAGGTTTGGAAAGCGAGGCAGGAGATTTGGTTCCTATGGGCCTGACCCCTGAGAGGGCCAATCTGATGGCTAGAGGCTTACCTCTGAATGTTATTGCTACTATTCAGTCCGCAAGGGCGCCCTCCACAAGAGGGCTGTATGTGTATAAGTGGCAAGCGTTTGAGGTCTGGTGCCAAGATAAAGGGCTGGTTCCTTTTCAGTGCTCTGTGAGGGACATCCTTATGTTCCTACAGGAGCATTCGAGCAGGAGTGGGCATTCTCCACTTTAAACGTGTACATGGCCGCTTTCTCAGCATACATGGCCGCTATCCCTGGTTGTGCAGTCCTGAAAAGTGTACGTAGTCTCAGGCCAGTCACTAAACCCATTGCTCATGGCTTTGGCCTCAGCTAAATGTGTTGGGGACCTCCACGCATTATCCGTACACCCTTCCTGTACTCAATTCGCCCCAGGCGACTCTAAGGTGACGTTGCGTCCAAATGCGCCCGGAAAGTCATGACTGTATCCTACAGGTCCTTAGCTTTGAGCAATTTCCCTTTTCGCCTCCTCCTTTTGCTTCTGAAGAGCAACAGCGGTTACATGCCCTGTGTCCAGTGCGAGCTTTATGCATGTACATTGAACTGACCCGGGATATCCGGTTATGTGACCAGCTTTTGGCTATTTTGCTAATCCAGCTCGCGGCAGGGCGCTCTCTAAGCAGCGTCTCTTCCACTGGATTGCGGAGGCTATCTCACTGGCATATAGCAGCAAGCGGCAAGGGTTAGCTAGCGGTGTACGCGCCCACTCCACCAGGGGTGTGGCTGCATCTTGGCCATTGTTTAAAGGGTTGACTGTAGGAGATATTGAAAGTGAAACGTGGTATTAAATTGAAGGAATTAATCCGAGCCTCACGCTTATCACCTGTGGAGGCGGTGCTTTCAGTGAGGCACGGATTTCATTGGCTTTGTAGATCCGCGAAAGTGCAACTCCCCATAGTATGTTGTGCCTCGTTTCCCTCCTTCAGGGAACAGTAGTTATAGTCATAACATTACGTTTTGACTGTTAATAGCTTGTTAAAGCCATATTTTCTATGCTACAGTGGGGGAAAAAAGTATTTAGTCAGCCACCAATTGTGCAAGTTCTCCCACTTAAAAAGATGAGAGAGGCCTGTAATTTTCATCATAGGTACACGTCAACTATGACAGACAAATTGAGAAAAACATTCCAGAAAATCACATTGTAGGATTTTTAATTTATTTATTTTCAAATTATGGTGGAAAATAAGTATTTGGTCACCTACAAACAAGCAAGATTTCTGGCTCTCACAGACCTGTAACTTATTCTTTAAGAGGCTCCTCTGTCCTCCACTCGTTACCTGTATTAATGGCACCTGTTTGAACTTGTTATCAGTATAAAAGACACCTGTCCACAACCTCAAACAGTCACACTCCAAACTCCACTATGGCCAAGACCAAAGAGCTGTCAAAGGACACCAGAAACAAAATTGTAGACCTGCACCAGGCTGGGAAGACTGAATCTGCAATAGGTAAGCAGCTTGGTTTGAAGAAATCAACTGTGGGAGCAATTATTAGGAAATGGAAGACATACAAGACCACTGATAATCTCCCTCGATCTGGGGCTCCACGCAAGATCTCACCCCGTGGGGTCAAAATGATCACAAGAACGGTGAGCAAAAATCCCAGAACCACACGGGGGGACCTAGTGAATGACCTGCAGAGAGCTGGGACCAAAGTAACAAAGCCTACCATCAGTAACACACTACGCCGCCAGGGACTCAAATCCTGCAGTGCCAGACGTGTCCCCCTGCTTAAGCCAGTACATGTCCAGGCCCGTCTGAAGTTTGCTAGAGTGCATTTGGATGATCCAGAAGAGGATTGGGAGAAAAAAATAGAACTTTTTGAAAAAAAAAAATAGAACTTTTTGGTAAAAACTCAACTCGTCGTGTTTGGAGGACAAAGAATGCTGAGTTGCATCCAAAGAACACCATACCTACTGTGAAGCATGGGGGTGGAAACATCATGCTTTGGGGCTGTTTTTCTGCAAAGGGACCAGGACGACTGATCCGTGTAAAGGAAAGAATGAATGGGGCCATGTATCGTGAGATTTTGAGTGAAAACCTCCTTCCATCAGCAAGGGCATTGAAGATGAAACGTGGCTGGGTCTTTCAGCATGACAATGATCCCAAACACACCGCCCGGGCAACGAAGGAGTGGCTTCGTAAGAAGCATTTCAAGGTCCTGGAGTGGCCTAGCCAGTCTCCAGATCTCAACCCCATAGAAAATCTTTGGAGGGAGTTGAAAGTCTGTGTTGCCCAGCGACAGCCCCAAAACATCACTGCTCTAGAGGAGATCTGCATGGAGGAATGGGCCAAAATACCAGCAACAGTGTGTGAAAACCTTGTGAAGACTTACAGAAAACATTTGACCTGTGTCATTGCCAACAAAGGGTATATAACAAAGTATTGAGAAACTTTTGTTATTGACCAAATACATTTTTTCCACCATAATTTGCTTAAAAATCCTACAATGTGATTTTCTGGATTTTTTCCCCTCATTTTGTCTGTCATAGTTGACGTGTACCTATGATGAAAATTACAGGCCTCTCTCATCTTTTTAAGTGGGAGAACTTGCACAATTGGTGGCTGACTAAATACTTTTTTCCCCCACTGTATATACTCTAGAAACCTACATAATTTACTGACCCTTTCCACATTGCCTTCTATCACATGTTTAAAGGAACACTGCTTTAGTTGTAAATTATATAGTGTTATTTAAACTTTCCTTTTCATGAATCACCAGAGAATTACCAGGACATTAAACATGGTCAATGGTACTTAATACAATGCCAACCAGCCTTTTGGTGTCCCTATACGAAATGTTGTTGCGAAATTGCACCTTGTGTATTCTGCTATTCTAATGCTCATCAGTCATTTTTGTCATTTTTGTGGGGTTGGGACACTCTGGCAGCCGCGGGGCCCTAAGCGGACGCTTATGTCGCTTATGCCTAGGGTCAGCCCTGACCAACATCTCATCCATAAAATCTAGCATTATCCAAAATAACAGTCCTTGTAATTTCCTGGTCATCAATGTAAAAATAATGTCTTTCATCACATAAAAAAAGGTGACAGAGTGAATTAAGAGAGAGAGAAAAGTATGACTTTTTCAGTGTAGACTGAAATTGGACACATTGAATGCAACAGTTTAATCCTGTGAATAATGATCTGGATCAAAACTTGATCAGTCATATCTACTGACTTGCCTGATCGTAAATGCTTTTAACACACAATTCTACAGTTTTTGCTAATTATTTTGTAGAGCAATGATTAAGGTGAGCACACAAATATAAGCTACAATAAGCTACAATAAAGTCCCAAGGTTTGTCAAACAAAGAAAAGGTTTGAGGGAGTGCAGGAAATTCAAATTGATTAAAGCTTGTTGAAAAATTTAGCCAAATTCTATACTAATATTTGAAAGTAACCCAATCTCACAATATTTTGTAACAATTGCAACATGAAAATGAATAATGAGCAGGACACAAAAAGTGTGAACATTCCATTGGAATCATCTTGAAAAGACTTATCCATATTCATGCACACTCAGTCCAAACATTTGGATCAAATAACAAATCGCACTCTAAACATCTGATAACATATCCCATGACAAAATATAGCTACATAAATTTACAAACTCAATATTCATCTCAATATCTAGCCTACAGTACAGATATAACAGCATCATGCACATCAATCCCCTTCATGGAGATAAAAAGAAATGAAAGCTAAATCTGGAACACAGAATCCTCTCGTCAGTTAATTACTCATCCGTATCTAGAATGAGATAGACATAGCATCCTGTGTGGCTGATTGGTATCATATTATATCTGCCAAAAACAACAGGAGGATGTTACATCAAATATTGAGCTATTGAGTAATACAGTTGGGATAGACTGAGCAAAAAGTATATTGGCATTGAATGTTTTGGAATATTTTATGAAAGCTTTGCTTACTTCAGTGGAGGGGTGGCTCCCATAGCAGGGGGGTCCTGGATGGGCTTCTGTGGGGTCTGGGGCTTCTGCAGCAGAGGAGGTTTCCCTCCGGGGCCTCCCTGGCCCTGGGCAATAGGGCGGGGCTGCTGAGTGGTAGGGGCCCCAGGGCGACCTTGCTGGGCTGGAGCCCTCTGCTGCTGGGGGGCCTGGGGGTCTCCTCCCTGGGACTGCTGCCTGGCAGGCTGGCCTGGCTTCTGCTGGGGCCTCTGCTGGGGATGGCCCCCTGTGGGCTTCTGGCCCGGGCCTCCAGGGGGGGATCTCTGCTGCTGCTGGGGACCTGACTGCTGTGGCCTCTGGTTTTGAGGGGAGCCCCCCTGGCTCATGGATCGCTGGGGGGATCCCTGACCAGAGGGGGGTTTCTGCCCCTGCCCTGGGGGACGCTGCTGAGAACCAACTCCTGGGTTGGCCTGTCTGTCTTGCTGTGGTGTCTGAGCAGGGGGGTTCTGGGTGTTGGGGCCGGGGGCAGGGGGCTGGGCTTGTGCAGGGGGCTGACCTTGGGGAGAGGGGCGCTGCTGTGAGGGGGCTCCTTGGCGAGGGGCGGCAGTGCCTGTGGGTGCCTGTTGTGGGCCACCTGGAGGAGATAGAGCACTGTTTATCCTGATTCCCTATCAAGCAGTCATTTAAAAAAAAACGATTTATCTATCTTATTACCAGTTAATGAACAAAAGCAAGTGTCCATTGGGATTTGGGGCCTTAATATTACAGAGCCATCTTCTTACCTTGTGAGATGGGCTGAGGGGATGCAGCTTTCTGCATGGCCAACATGTCACAATGAAACACAAAGTCAATGGGTTATAAATACACACCAAATATACTGGCCTATTAACAAAAGAGACCACTCATCTAAACATATTCCTTTTGACAAATGTTGACTCATTTGAAGTCTATTAGACTGAGTTGTGGTTAGCAACAGTGTCACCTGTGCGGGCTGTGCAGCTGTGGGACGGACAGGAGAGGGACTTGCAGTGCGTGGGACTGTCTGGTTCATTTTGGAGATGACCAGGTCTGCAATTTGAGCACGGTCTTCATCCTGCTGGTCTCCAATCAAGGGCATGGAGCAACCCACCACCTGAGAGAACGAGAGGCAGAAACACAAGGTATTACAATGTTGTTACCAGTGTAATTACAGTGTTACTACACAGTTTAAGAGTAGTTTCAAGTTTTATTTGTCACATGCACAAGTACAGTGAAATGCTTAACTTGCAAGCCCTTCCCAATAATGCAGTATTCAATATCAAAATAGTACGGAAGCCCTGAAGCCCAAGGCAAAAAAATTAAACTTCGGGTATTGGAATTATCTAATTTGAATGACCCTGATTGATAAATATGCCCTTATATATTGTGACACTTTTGTTTACCAAATACTCCACAATTAGACATTAGTTAAACTTCTTCCTGCTAATAAAAAAGCCAAATCCATCCATTACGCACGGATCTCCCTCTCAAGCGCTCCTTCTCTAGGAGCTTTGCCTTATCACCAAATGAATAGGTTGTTGTCATCGGTGCTATTGAAAATCGGATAGCTTCCTTATGTTTCAGTAAACCATTAGCCAACAATTCAAAGATTAAACAAAGTGTCATCATGAAAGTTTATTATCTCTTCATTTTATTTGGGTGAGTAAATGTATTTTTTCCTGTTATTGTGAACTGTAGGCTATAACAAATTAACCCTTTCAATCGAAGGCCTATCACAAACCTCTTTTTGTAGGTGATTCTGGTAGGCTAATAAAAGCATGTTGTTCGCAGCATAAACCAGCCTATAATCTCTGAAGTTTATTCATTTATTGGTAATGGATACTTTAACTGTAAATTTAGGCTACTGTTAAAGCGTTCACATAAGCTACTTCTCTGCCAGAGCCCATGAGATAACTAAACTAGTAAATCCTACCGGTAAGTGCGGTCTAAGCGATTCCCTTATGATATCACGTTACCTGCCCTACAGTAATTCTAATGATGGAAAACTGTTGTTAACCTCTTGTGTCACACACATTTAATTCAACATTTGATTCTAGCTCACAATCAAGCATAGCCACAGGAAGAAGGGGTGCTGAGGGAGCTGCACCACCCACTGCAAAATCATAATAAATAAAAAAAGATTAATACAAAAATATATATATATATTGTACTACAAAAGAAGTGCACTGGGCCTTTACTAGTATTAGCAGACCGATATAGATGTCTCTGCTTTGGCAAAAAAGGTAGTTGTATAATTAAGAACAGTATCTTGCAGGATTCAATAGTTGAAATTGTAAGAGTTGTTGCCCTGTCCCTTTCTCTGCAATTGTCATTCTAATGATATCCAGAAAGAATAAAACCCTGTCCTCAAACATTTACATCAAAAGGTGAAAAGTTATGGGTAAAGCCACAAAACATTCACATCAAATTAAATATTTTTCTTGATCAAATAACATGGAAAATAACCACTTTTTGTGCAGTATTGTAAGGACAAACAACGCAATGTAAATGTACATTACTGCATTGTACATAGGCTGGTCATCTAGGTTTGTACCTGTAGACTTTCCATCACCATGAAGAAAAACAATGCACAATACAGTAATTGAGTACATTGAGACATCAAGTGGTTTGTGATGATTTGATGATGTGGCTCAGTTGGTAGAGCATGGCGCTTGCAATGCTAGGGTTGTGGGTTTGATTCCCACTGAGAATCTAATTCCAAGACTCTTCCTAGAGCTGGCCACCCGGCCAAACTGAGCAATTGGGGGAGAAGGGCCTTGGTTAGGGAGGTGACCAAGAACCCGATGGTCACTCTGACAGAGCTCCAGAGTTCCTCTGTGGAGATGGGAGAACCTTCCAGAAGGACAACCATCTCTGCAGCACTCCACCAATCAGGCCTTTATGGTAGAGTGGCCAGACGGAAGCCACGCCTCAGTAAAAGGCACATGACGGCCTGCTTGGAGTTTGCCAAAAGGCACCTAAAAGACTCAGACCATGAGAAACAAGGTTCTCTGGTCTGATGAAACCAAGATTGAACTCTTTGGCCTGAATGCCAAGTGTCAAGTCTGGAGGAAACCTGGCACCATCCCTACGGTGAAGCGTGGTGACAGCATCATGCTGTGGGGATGTTTTTCAGCGGCAGGGACTGGGAGACTAGTCAGGATCGAGGGAAAGTTGAACACAGCAAAGTACAGAGAGATCCTTGAGACCTGAAAATAGCTGTGCAGCGACGCTCTCCATCCAACCTGACAGAGCTTGAGAGGATCTGCAGGAGAAACTCCCCTAATACAGGTGTGCCAAGCTGCCAAATGTGCTTCTTAAAAAGTACTGAGTAAAGGGTCTGAATACTTATGTAAATGTGATATTTCTGTTTTTTTTATATATATACATTTGCAAAAACTCATTTTGGGATATTGTGTGTAAATTGATGAGGGGAAAAAACAATTTAATCAATTTTAGAATAAGGCTGTAACGTAGCAAAATGTGAAAAAACCCAAGGGGTCTGAATATTTTCCGAATGCACTGTACATGCTCTGGCCTTCAGCCCTGCTTTAAGCTATCAAAGAACTGTCAATGAATAATCATATCAATGGATGGAATCAGTGAATGAATGGCTGCAGCAACCATTACATGGTCTGACACGCTGCATAACAACTTAGGCCTAATTAGACAAAGGAACAATGAAGTCGTTGGAACGAGATACTAAGACGTTCAAATGAGATACTTTCTCAAACGAGATAATTCCAAGAGTCTACGTATTTTTTATGTTTGGGGGGCTTGGGCTTCAGGGCTTCCGTAAAATAGTATAAATATTTGTTTTAATTAAAAAAACACGAGAAATAAGAAAGAAAGAAAAAAAACTGGATAGTGTAAGCTATATAATAAGTATAAGAGCAACATTGTTAACAATACTTCTAATCCCTTACCTCTATGATGTAATCCTTGCCATCTTTTCCATGCAGAGCCTCCACAGCGCACATATCCAAACCACCAAACACCTCAGAGCAGGAGTCCACCCACATCCGATACCTACGATGTTGGAGAACACAGTTAGTAACTACTAAACACACTGCTGTCTGTCTGATGCACAAAGGCCCAGACTGTGTTAACTCTCACCTGTCTGACATGGCTATCTGCTCCAGCATTGCTGAACCAGTGTTGGTTTTCCAGTTCCCTGAAATCGATGTCCGCCTGATAAACAGACAAGATCTACCGTTTAGCATGTTCTCTCTTGATCATCTAATTCACATCAATGTTGGGATATGCAGTATACATTTTCTGTAGCCTGTGCTGAATAGCTTGGGGATTTGTAGAATGGATTGCCCTCAGAGTCACCACAACAAGGCGCTCATTTATTTCACTCACATGTATGCCTTGTAATTGACTCCGATCTTCTGAATGCGGACATCATACTTTGCATCGATGAAAGGTTCAGATGTGGCATAGGTCTTGGTCAGGGCAACAACACTGGCAATATCTTGGAAGTCATATTGATTGTCCACTTTCACCTGCAGGGTAAAGGCATGAATAACATTGTGTTAATAGTATTGATTTGTGAAGCATAAACACTAATCCAGGCCTACTTTGTCTCCTTTCAAACAGTAACAAGAGCAGTCCAGTCCTACCTTCCCTATCCCTGAGTGGGCGTGGCCCATTTTCACCACCACAGGGAAACCAGGAGTGGTAATCTGCAGCAAAAGACAACACAAAATCCCCCATTGGAAAACGTCATACTACATAGGAGCCAAACACCTCAGGACTCCACCCACATCCGATACCTACGATGTTGGAGAACACTGTTAGTAACTACTAAACACACTGCTGTCTGTCTGAAACGGCAGCCTATACGTTGAGAATGGGGATGGCTGCTGTTTTACGGGCTCCTAACCAACTGTGCTATTGTGTGTGATTTTTGCATTGTTTGTAACTTATTTTGTACATAATGTTGCTGCTACCATCTCTTATGACCGAAAAAAGCTTCTGGATATCAGAACAGCGATTACTCACCTCGAACTGGACAAAGATTTTTTCTTTAATGAGTCCGACGCAAAGGACCAGGCCCAAATCCCCGTCATTCGCGTGAAGAAAATACGGAAATACAGGGGGAGGAGATCAGGGTGCCTTGTGAAAATTCATCAGCGAGTGGGTAACCCGCCTCTACCATCCGTTCACTGGAGAACAAACTGGATGATCTCCGTTCGAGACTATCCTACCAACGGGACATTAAATATACAGTTGGCTGGGTTTTCCGTGCATCCGCAGGACAGAACAGCTATGACTGGTAAGATGAGGGGTGGTGGTGTGTGTCTATTTGTCAATAACAGCTGATGCGCAATGTCTAACATTAAGAAAGTCTCGAGGTATTGCTCGCCTGAGGTAGAGTACCTTATGATAAGCTGTAGACCACACTATCTACCAAGAGTTTTAATCTATATTTTGAATACCCGTCTATTTACCACCACAAAGCGATGCTGGCACTAAGAACTCACTCAACGAGCTGTATAAGGCCGTAAGCAAACAAGAAAATGCTCATCCAGAAGCAGTGCTCCTAGTGGCCGGAGACTTTAATGCAGGCAAACTTAAATCCGTTTTACCTCATTTCTACCAGCATGTCACATGTGCAACCAGAGGAAAACATTTCTAGACCATCTTTACTCCACACACAGAGACGCATACAAAGCTCTCCCTCAACCTCCATTTGGCAAATCTGACCATAATTCTACCCTCCTGATTCCTGCTTACAAGCAAAGCAAAAACTAAAGCAGGAAGTACCAGTGACTCGCTCAATACGGAAGTGGTCAGATGAAACGGATGTTACGCTACAGGACGGTTTTACTAGCACAGACTGGAATATATTCCGGGATTCATCCAATGGCATTGAGGAGTATACCACCTCAGTCACCGGCTTCATCAATAAGTGCATCGACGACGTCGTTCCCACAGTGACCATACGTACATATCCCAACCAGAAGCCATGGATTACAGGCAACATCCGCACTGAGCTAAAGGCTAGAACTGCCGCTTTCAAGGAGCAGGACACTAATCCGGACGCTTATAAGAAATCCCGCTATGCCCTCAGACAAACCATCAAACAGGCAAAGAATCAATACTGGACTAAGATTTAATCCTACTACACCGGCTCTGGCGCTCGTCGGATGTGGCAGGGCTTGCAAACTATTACGGACTACAAAGGGAAACCCAGCCGCGAGCTGCCCAGTGACGCGAGCCTACCAGACGAGCTAAATGCCTTTTATGCTCGCTTCGAGGCAAGCAACACTGATGCATGCATGCAAGCACCAGCTGTTCCGGACGACTGTGTGATCACGCTCTCCGTAGCCAATGTGAGCAAGACCTTTAAACAGGTCAACATTAACAAGGCCGCGGGGTCAGGCGGATTACCAGGACGTGTACTCAGAGCATGCGCGGAACAACTGGCAAGTGTCTTCACTGACATTTTCAACCTCTCCCTGACCGAGTCTGTAATACCTACATGTTTCATGCAGAACATCATATTCCCTGTGCCCAAGAAAGCAAAGGTAACCTGCCTAAATGATTACCACCCCGTAGCACTTACGTCAGTAGCCATGAAGTGCTTTGAAAGGCTGGTCATGGCTCACATCAACACCATCATCCCGGAAACCCTAGGCCCACTCCAATTCGCATACCGCCCCAAAAGATCCACAGATAACGCAATCTCAATCGCACTCCACACTGCCCTTTCCCACCTGGACAAAAGGAACACCTATGTGAGAATCCTGTTCATTGACTACAGCTCAGCGTTCAACACCATAGTGCCCACAAAGCTCATCACTAAGCTAAGAACCCTGGGACTAAACACCTCCTTCTGCAACTGGATCCTGGACTTCCTGACGGGGCGCCCCCAGGTGGTAAGGGTAGGCAACAACACATCTACCACGCTGATCCTCAACTCTGGGGCCCCTCAGGGGTGCGTGCTTAGTCCCCTCCTGTACTCACTGTTCACCCACGACTGCGTGGCCAAGCACCACTCCAACACCATCATTAAGTTTGCTGACGACACAACAGTGGTAGGCCTGATCACCGACATTGATGAGACAGCCTATAGGAAGGAAGTCAGAGACCTGGCAGTGTGGTGCCAGGACAACAACCTCTCCCTCAACCTGAGCAAGACAAAGGAGCTGATTGTGGACTACAGGAAAAGGAGGGCAAAACACACCCCCATTCACATCGATGGGGCTGTAGTGGAGCGGGTCGAGAGTTTCAAGTTCCTTGGTGTCCACATCACCAACAAACTATCATGGTCCAAACACACCAAGATAGTCGTGAAGAGGGCACGACAACGCCTTTTCCCCCTCAGGAGACTGAAAAAATGTGGCATGGGTCCCCAGATTCTCAAAAGGTTCTACAGCTGCACCATCGAGAGCATCCTGACTGGTTGCATCACCGCCTGGTGTGGCAACTGCTCGGAATCCGACCATAAGGTGCTACAGAGGGTAGTGCGTATGGCCCAGTACATCACTGGGGCCAAGCTTCCTGCCATCCAGGACCTATATACTAGGCGGTGTCAGAGGAAGGCCCAAAACATTGTCAAAGACTCCAGTCACCCAAGTCATAGACTGTTCTCTCTGCTACCGCACGGCAAGCGGTACCAGAGCGCCAAGTCTAGGTCCAAAAGGCTCCTTAAGAGCTTCTACCCCCAAGCCATAAAACTGCTGAACAATTAAGCAAATGGCCACCCAGACTATTTACATTGAGTAAACTGTGAAATCAAATTGAGTTGCTACTATTTGCTAAATGTGTCAGGATGCAGCTAAATAACAAAGTACCATCAAGTTTTAATGTGCTATATAGAAAAGATGCAACAGTGACATCAACTGAGAACCCATGTAATTACAAAATCTACAACTACTTCATTGTGTGAAAATTCATTGCCCAAAAAGCAGTTATGGAGTGATTCATGATGATCATTGAGGCGAGCTGAGCCGAGAGCAGGCCTGCGACTGCAGGGGTGGAGGGGGGTAGCACTGCGGCAGCACAGACACTGATCTCAGTGCAGTGCTACTGAGGGGATCCATAGGGCACAGGGAATAATCAAACCCACTCCGCCTCTACTGGGACCTGTACACATGCACCCTCAGTCTAATCAGAGACAATACTAAGATTGATTGTTGTGATAGATCTGAGATGGAATATTGATGTAAGCTAGCTACTCCTTTGTCATTTTCTTACAGGACACAGAAATGTATGTGTTATCCAAACAGAGGGGCCACTTAATAGTCTTTGCTTAGGTCTATTTAGTGTGAAGACATGGCCATGTTGTGGTGGGGGAGGAGTAGAGAGAAGCAGATGGCAGAACACCCACCATTTCCCTGTGGTTGGGATAGTAAACCTGCTCGATCAGTGGGAATTCCTCTGGTCCCAGTTGCTTGTACAATCTCACCATATTAGCAAACTGAAAGAAGACGCGATAATACACAAAAGAGGTTACTTTTTCAGTTAAATCGAAAGTCATGATCTGTCTAGCAGTCATAGCTGTTTACTTGAATTAGATTAGGCTTGGAAAGCAAACAACAAACAATTGTATCTGCTTTATATTGCCATGCTTACCACCCATGGTTTGTCACAGAAGTTGTAGACAGAGTGCAGAGAGTTTACACCCATGAGACCAGCATACTGTAACCCAATCACTATGTGTCGGTGGTCTCCATTCTTGGCCATACTGAAGGCATGCTGCCTAACCAGCACAAAGTCTGGCCTGAAACATCTTGGCAAATAGAAAATCACACATTACCAATACAGTCAACATTTTATTCTGGGTTTTGCACTTGAAAATTGCAAGAAATCATGCATATCTTGTAACATCAGCAATCAGGACACACTTATGATATTTGTTTCTGATTATCGTAAACATAATGTAGAACACTGTATTCAAAGGATGTACAGTAGACTTACTTGGTGACCTTGGTTCCATTCCGGATTGCTTCGATATCAACACTATAGCCCCCCGTAGCATGAGCTATTAGGTTGATTTCAGAGAAGTCAGCCTGAGTGGACAACATCAGTGTCAATCCCAGTCAAACATCAATGTGATCTTAACAGGGACATTTTAAGGTTATAGTTCACTGTCAAAAACCAAAGTTTGGCAGGCGTGATGAAATCAGATGGTTCCTATCTTTTTCATTTCTTTGGAGTTGATGCAGGTGGCTCTACAACACAGATGGTATGGAACCCTGATTCATCTTCACATTAGCCCACTTAAGAGATCAGAAACGTCTGACAGACTTTGATTTTGGAGTGAACTACTGTATTACTTCAATGGCTTTGTCGCCAAATACTACGAGGCAGAAGGTAGCCATGATCACCGCCACAGATAATGAGACATTCATTGCACAGGGCTCTTCCGGCTGAGAGACTCATGGGGTGCATAGCGGAAACACTCTAATGCAACATAAAAGGAGAGGACAGAAATAGGAGACATTGAAAATGCCGGAAGAGAAAATAATCCAAAAGTATTTTCAAGTCTTCATTTACAAAGCACAGAGGGTAGCATTAACTTCATTTTTCTATAAAGCCACCACTGGGTACAAATGTTTTGGGGTCCATGAGATCATCTTATTTTCCATAGATATTGTTATCAGATTCAGAGTGACCTATTTCCTTAATACATTTGACAAATATGACAACATTATTATCACACTTGATAATTATCCAACTCTCAGTCCACTTAACATAGTTCAACTATAGTGTGTGCATCATGTCTTGTGATTTCTTTGATTTATTGTTTATTGCATACAGTATGTGCAGGTCTGCAGCACCCATGTACAGTCTGATAAGGTCACTACACTCTTAGAAAAAAGGGTTTCAAAAGGGTCTTCAGCTGTTCCTTTTGAAGAACCCTTTTGGTTCTGGGTAGAACTATTTTGGGTTCCATGTAGAACCCTCTGTGGAAAGGGTTTTACATGGAACCCAAAAGGGTTTTACCTGGAACCAAAAATGATTTATCCTATGGCGACAGCTGAAGAACCATTTTAGGTTCTAGATAGCGCCTTTTTTTCTAAGAGTGTAGATGCAGGGGTTGTCTATCTGTGTGCTTCAATCCCTGTACTCAATAACACCAAGCATGAGGTGACCTGTGAGTCTCATTGGCTGTTGTATAACCTCAAATCACCTCTCCATCTCTGATATAAAATCATCTCTATTCTAAATTTTTCTTCTTTCTTTCTTTTTTTCTTACTTTTTCTTTCATACAAACACCCTTTTATTCTACATTAATGTCTAGCTAAATGTTTTCAACGCCAAAATTATTCTACAGGTAAAATAGACAATTAAAATAACAAAGGTGAACGAGCAACCCACCTGTTCCACCTTAATGTCGAATTCACCATGAACCTTTTTACCTTTGAAGACCTTTACCCTAGAGAAGAAAGGGAAGAAAAAATATTTCACTTGCATAGCAACTAGGCCTACTGTGGAGAACAGTTTTATACTGCTATCTCACAAGCATACTCAATGGTGACATGTAAAGTGCCTTCAGAAAGTATTCACACCCCTTGACTTTTTTCACATTTTGTTGTGTTACAGCCTGAATTTAAAATGTTTTACATTTAGATTTTGTGTCACTGGCCTACACACAATACACCATAATGTCAACGTGGAATTATGTTTTTTGAAATGTTTACAAATTAATAAAAAATGAAAAGCTGAAATTTCTTGAGACAGTAAGTATTCAACCCCTTTGTTATGGCAAGCCTAAATATGGTCAGGAGTAAATATTTGCTTAACAAGTCACATAATAAGTTGCATGGACTCACTCTGTGTGCAATAATAGTGTTTGACATTATTTTTTAATGACTACCTCACTCTATACCCTACACATACAAATACAGTGCATTCGGAAAGTATTCAGACCCCTTGACTTCATCCACATTTTGTTACGTTACAGCCTTATTCTAAAATTGATTAAATAAAAAATGTTCCTCATCAATCTACAAACAATATCCCATAATGACAAAGTGAAAACAGGTTTTTAGAATTTAAATAAAAATAAAAAACAGAAATACCTTATTTTCACAAGTATACAGACCCTTTGCTATGAGACTCGAAATTGAGCTCAGGTGCATCCTGTTTCCATTGATCATCCTTGAGATGTTTCTACAACTTGATTGGAGTCCACCTGTGGTAAATTCAATTGATTGTACATGATTTGGAAAGGCACAAACCTGTCCATATAGAGCAAAAACCAAGCCATGAGGTCGAAGGAATTGTCCGTAGAGCTCCGAGACAGGATTGTGTCGAGATACAGATCTGGGGAAGGGTACCAAAAAAATTCTGCAGCATTGAAGGTCCCACAGTGGCCTCCATCATTCTTAAATGGAAGAAGTTTTGAACGACCAAGACTCTTCCTAGAGCTGGCCGCCCGGCCAAACTGAGCAATAGGAGGAGAAGGGCCTTGGTCAGGGAAGTGACCAAGAACCCGATGACAGAGCTCCAGAGTTCCTCTGTGGAGATGGGAGAAACTTCCAGAGGACAACCATCTCTGCAGCACTCCACCAATCAGGCCTTTATGGTAGAGTGGCCAGATGGAAGCCACTCCTCAGCAAAAGGCACATGACAGCCCACTTGGATTTTGCCAAAAGGCACTAAAGGACTCTCAGAACATGGAAACAGAATTCTTGGTCTGATGAAACCCAAAAGATTGAACTCTTTGGCCTGAATGCCAAGGGTCACATTGGAGGGAAACCTGGCACCATCCCTATGGTGAAGCATGGTGGTGGCAGCATATGCTGTGGGGATGTTTTTTCAGCGGCAGGGACTGGGAGACTAGTCAGGATTGAGGGAATGATAAAAAGGAGCAAAGTACAGAGAGATCCTTGATGAAAACCTGCTCCAGAGGGGCTTAGGACCTCAGACTGGGGAAAAGGTTCACCTTCAAACAGGAAAAACGACCGTAAGCACACAGCAAGACAAACAGGAGTGGCTTCGGGACAGGCTCTGAATGTTCTTGAGTGGCCCAGCCAGAGCCCGTACTTGAACCCGATCTAACCTCTCTGGAGAGACCTGAAAATAGCTGTGCAGCAACGCTCCCCATCCAACCTGACAGAGAGTGAGAGGATCTGCAGAGAAGAATGGGAGAAACTCCCCAAATACAGGTGTGCCAAGCTTGTAGCGTCATACCCAAGAAGACTCAAGGCTGTAATCGCTGCCAAAGGTGCTTCAACAAAGTTTTTTTTTTTTTTTCACCTTTATTTAACCAGGTAAGCCAGTTGAGAACAAGTTCTCATTTACAACTGCGACCTGGCCAAGATAAAGCAAAGCAGTGCGATAAAAACAACAACACAGAGTTACATATGGGGTAAAACAAAACATAAAGTCAAAAATACAACAGAAAATATATATACAGTGTGTGCAAATGTAGCAAGTTATGGAGGTAAGTCAATAAATAGGCTATAGTGCAAAATAATTACAATTGGTATTAACACTGGAATGATAGATGTGCAAGAGATGATGTGCAAGTAGAGATACTGGGGTGCAAATGAGCAAAATAAATAACAATATAGGGCTGAGGTAGATGGGCGGGCTAATTTCAGATGGGCTGTGTACAGGTGCAGTGATCGGTAAGGTGCTCTGACAACTGATGCTTAAAGTTAGTGAGGGAGATAAGTGTCTCCAGCTTCAGAGATTTTTGCAATTTGTTCCAGTCATTGGCAGCAGAGAACTGGAAGGAATGGCGGCCAAAGGAGGTGTTGGCTTTGGGGATGACCAGTGAGATATACCTGCTGGAGCGCATACTACGGGTGGGTGTTGCTATGGTGACCAATGAGCTAAGATAAGGCGGGGATTTGCCTAGCAGTGATTTATAGATGGCCTGGAGCCAGTGGGTTTGGCGACGAATATGTAGTGAGGACCAGCCAACAAGAGCGTACAGGTCACAGTGGTGGGTAGTATATGGGGCTTTGGAGACAAAACGGATGGCACTGTGATAGACTACATCCAATTTGCTGAGTAGAGTGTTGGAGGCTATTTTGTAAATGACATCGCCGAAGTCAAGGATCGGTAGGATAGTCAGTTTTTACGAGGGCATGTTTGGCAGCATGAGTGAAGGAGGCTTTGTTGCGAAATAGGAAACCGATTCTAGATTTAACTTTGGATTGGAGATTATTAATGTGAGTCTGGAAGGAGAGTTTACAGTCTAACCAGACACCTAGGTATTTGTAGTTGTCCACATACTCTAGGTCAGACCCGTAGAGAGTAGTGATTCTAGTCGGGTGGGCGGGTGCCAGCTGCGTTCGATTGAAGAGCATGCATTTAGTTTTACTAGTGTTTAAGAGCAGTTGGAGGCTACTGAAGGAGTGTTGTATGGCATTGAAGCTCGTTTGGAGGTTTGTTAACACAGTGTCCAATGAAGGGCCAGATGTATACAAAATGGTGTCGTCTGCGTAGAGGTGGATCTGAGAGTCACCAGCAGCAAGAGCGACATCATTGATATACACGGAGAAAAGAGTCGGCCCAAGAATTGAAACCCTGTGGCACCCCCATAGAGACTGCCATAGGTCCAGACAACAGGCCCTCCGATTTGACACATTGAACTCTATCTGAGAAGTACTGAGTAAAGGGTCTGAATACTTATGTAAATGTCATATTTCCATTTTTATTATATTTTTTATTGGGAAAGATCTAAAAAAAAAAGGTCAAGGGGTCTGAATACTTTCCAAAAGCACTGTATGTGTAAGGTCCCTCAGTTGAGCAGTGAATTTCAAACACCGATTCCACCACAAAGACCAAGGAGGTTTTCCAATGCCTTGCAAAGAAGGGCACATATTGGTAGATGTGTAAAAAACAGATATTGAATATCCCTTTGTGCATGGTGAAGATATTAATTACTCTTTGGATGGTGTATCAATGCACCCAGTCACTACAAGATACAGGTGTCCTTCCTAACTCAATTTCCGGAGAGGAAGGAAACCACTCAGGGATGTCAACATGAGGCGTTTGCCAAAAAGGCACCTAAAGGGACTCCAGACCATGAGAAAAACAGAATTCTATGGTCTGATGAAACCAA